TTCCCTCCCCTCCTCCTTCCCCCCCCCCTTGCCAACTTGCAATAAACCCGCCTTGCCCTGCCGTTTCTGCCTCAGTTCCCTGTTTTTCTGTCTGCATGTTCTCCTGTTTTCAGCTGTTCTCTGTGTGCTGCATCTACTGAACGCCCACACCTGCTCGATCCTAAGTGCTGCTCGCACGAACTCTTGCTGTAACGGTGTACTGAGCACAAGTGGCTGGATACCTCAAAACATGCTTGCCTCGCATTCAGTATGAAGTAGATCGCAGCTTTCCGTGCCCTCTGGCCCCCAGCAGCCGAGGTGGGCGGCGTAGCGTTGAAATTACCCTCTGCCCCACGGTCTGTTATGCATGCGGCTAGTTTCGCGTAACTTCAAAGGCAAGCTCGGACCGCAAGCAATTTTTACACACCCGAAAGTCCCTGATGTAATTCTTGCATTGGCAGCCCTCCTAGGACCTAGGACTATGGGTTGTAGCCGCCAAACCCTTTCATTGTCCTCTGCTGCAAAACTTCTGGTATATGTAGTTCCTTCACATGACCACATGCATGCTGCATGCCCCCTAAGACCTGAAGTGACAGTAGGGGTCCTACACAATCTTCTTGTACAAGTAGTTCCACACTTCTTTTACAGTGAATGGGACCCCAATATTATCTTTTGCCTTTTTAGTTGAACTGGTTTTCGCTGAGCCCAATGAATATACGATTTACATGGAGCCAAATCCCCGAATCATCAGCCTATACATCTAAGAACCGTTTCGCCCTGGTATAAAACGATGCCCCTTCCCAAGTAATGAAGACCGACTCTGGCTGATCTTGAACTGGAATGGTCAGTCTCTCCTGTCTGCCGTATCAATTGGCTTACTGAACCTTCCTGCGGCTTCTGCAATGTTCATCAAGGGTTCTTGGCCGTTCCGCGATCAAGTTTTTGCAACCTGGAACAGCGATCATGATATGCATGGCGTTTCTGACTTGACCTTGTAAAACTTAACAGCCGGTATGCACTGTTACAACTCGCCCACGTTGAGGACTTTTGACCACTGCCACAGCCGGACGACAGTCTGCTCCAGCCAAGCCTTCGTTGGGCCGCGGACCTCAGATAGGTAAACCATCCAATGAAATCCCACTACCGACTTAACAGAGCCAGCGTCTTGGAAAGATGGAAAAAGTCAGCAGACAAGCAAATGAACGAACTCATCCCCGAAGCGTCGATATTCTGAAGCCCAACATATTTGATGATGCTCTGTTTTCTTATGCGTGTGCGGAAGGATGCGTGCACGACGGACCTTTTTCTGATGGTATGAAAGCGCCTTGCGCCTGGGTCCGTCGCAACCGCCCGTACTGGGCTGGCCGGCGCTGGGGACGCTTCTGCATCCCAGCCCGCCGCCCGCCAGCGGGCGACGACCCATACGGTCTCTAAAAAAAACAAATCGTTTCGAATGACGGGTGGAGAGGGTGGGAGCTGAAAGTCGGGCGACGACGCTAACCTCAGGATTGCGCCGGCCATGTTCCTGCACACGCTGCGTGTCAAGACCGGCTACTGACTTGTCACGAAAAGGCTACGACGGACAGACCTCATTTTGGGTGGTATGAAAGCGCCTTGCGCCTTGGCCGTCGCAAACGGGACGAGTCGCGCAGTGAGAAGTGGATGTCGGCCTGCCGTCGGCATGTGGAGTCTGGTCCACCCCATCCCCGTGGCCATGTGAAGATCTCCGCGTGATTCAGCGTCGGCCACGGGAGGCGAGTCGCACAAGGCCGCGATGGACAGAAGGCAACCAGAACGCCCTTGACCGCCTCATCCTTTTCAGAGTTCTTACTGAGGGCCCACAGGCCAGCATGAATGCCAATGGTCCCCGATCCGGACGACACCCCCACGCGTTAAGGCCACGGATGCCTTTGAGTGGCACCCGCCGCCGGGAAGTGGCCGCCTGGTGTCGGGTCTCTCCGGGCTAGTAGAAAGTATTGGCGAAAATGATGGCCGCCGGCGCCCCGTCATCGATGAAGGGCACAATCTTCGGCCAGCGGCGACCTGAGCGACGTCAAGGCCCCGCGTGTGGCCCGACCGACAGTCCCGTCGACGAGCAGGCTGGAGGGCGGCCGCTTGCGGGTGAGGGTCGTTCCCACCCGCGCCAGACGGCGAGAACAAAGTCGACGACGTACGCTGCATTAGCGCGCGGCACAGTCCGGCGGCGAAACAAGAGTCGAAACAAGCGCGCTAGGTCGGCGCCTTCGTCCACCGCGCCGCGAAGCAGCTCCATCGCGGTGACGATATCGGCGCAGGAAAAGGACATGGCGCCGCCGGAAAGAGACTGAGAGAAAGCTGAAAGTCGGGCGACGACATCGGGCCTCAGGATAGCTGCGGCATCTGCGTCTGGTGCCGGTCATGTCCCTGCACACGCTGCGTGTGTTTTGGACACAACAAACTCCAATCTGTCCCGCAAGTTCATGCGGTGGAAGTTGTAGCAGTTTACGCGCTTTGCTCGTTCTCCACTGATGTTCTGAAAGACTTGGGTGTCCCAAGAAGTGGGAGTTACGTTTCGGCGTGCACTTCGTTGTGGGTTGACCCTCCGAACCGTTTCTTGTGAGTAGGCGTGGGGCTGGTGCAGGCTAGCCTGCACAAGTGGGTGGTTGGGCGATGGATGCGAGGGTGAGCTGTGAATACCAACCGGCTGATTGCACAGTGACTTCAGCCGCTTCAGCCAGTTGACTTTTTCTTTCCGCTTGCAAACGAGCTCTTCCCGTCTAGCCGTCCTGTGATGACCTGTGAGGGCAATGCCTGGGCAAGGAGCTTGATCGCCTCAGCGCATGAGCCCGTGACTCCACTGCCAGGCAACGACGGTGCATACGATACTGCTGCTACGACAACATGGCTTTCAGTGTTGCTATCACAGCTTGCGCTGTCATTT